AGGAGGCGATATTCACGAAAAAGCGGCGGGAAGAATTGGGACACCTCCTGCCGAATCGGACGCCCTATTTAGCCCACGTCAGCTCGTCCCGATTTCCCCCACCATTTCCCCCCTTCACGCTCTCCATCTCGGGTGATTTCGTCACCAACTAGCAGGTAAATTGTGCATCTTCTCCTGTCAGCAGTAGACGATGGCTACACTTCATCATCCTCCTCTTCTCTGATGAGTTCCGCGTCACCTCCTTGCTCACCATTGGTTGTAAGTTCTATCACTCCTCCTCCCTACTCGATATAACTTTGGTCTATGAGCACGTGCTAGGGATAGATCTATGAACGGTGGTAGCATTGCAGAGTGTCGATCTGCGACCCTGTGATGTTGTGGTAGATAGTGATGATCGATTACTCGAACCGTAGGTTTGGTACTAGGGTTTCATGATGTTTTCCATTTCAGCTACATCGTAGCTGTGGTGGTCGACTTTCATGCCTGCAACTCAATAGTAGCACTCTTTTGTGGTTATGGTATGAAATGTGCTCTGAACTTCGTTGAGTTTGAAAGATAAGTTACTCGAATTTGAAAAAAGTTCATCAAATTTGAAAGAAAATATTCATCAAATCTGAGAAAAAAGTTCATCAATTTTGAGAAAAAGTTGATTGATTTTCAAGAAAGCATTCGCAAATTTTAAAAATTCTTCGAACCAGGAATAAGGAAAAAGAAAAAAAGGAAAAAGAGAAAAGTAGGAAGAAAAAATAGGGTTTACTGGCAACTCGACATGTTTCAATTTCACATTCAAAGAAAAATAAAGGTGGGTCCATTTTTTTGGCACAATTGTACCCACCATGTGTTGTTTTCTCAGCAGGCTTTTCTTATGATAGGAGCATAAAAAATGGCATCAAGGCCTGAACGGGCGTTCGTGCTGAACAAGAGAAGCATTTTTTTTCAAGATAAAAGAAATTCATTACTTAAGTAATAATGTTCTTACCATCATTCATGATGATAGTGCTAATCCCCTGAGGACTATTTGCACCGAACGAGAGAAATGAAACGTTTGTTCTGTGTGACTTTACTCATACCTGACGTTCGGTAGTTCTCGGCTTCTTTTTTGTTTGTGTTTTGTAAATTTCAGTTGGTAAATAACGTTGCCCATATTTCTAGAGTACATCATTGCTGATGAATTTTGCTTGCCAAATTGCAGCTGCCATTACAGGAGAAAATAAAAAAATCAGACTTCACCAATTAAGGCACGATACATTCAGAAAAAAAAAATCTTTCACTAACTATAGGTAGTTTGTTCACTTGGGTGTAAGTCAGGGAAGAAGATTCAGAGTAACCTGAATTGCCATGGTTCCAGAATTTTGCAATTATTAAGCCTATTCTGCAATTCCAAAAGCAAAACTATTCATTACGTGTATTTTTCAGGTTTTCATTGTAACATACTTACTCTACATGAGTAAAAGAAGATTAACCGGAGATGAACTAGCCGATACGTAGTAGAGATTCGGCACGCAAGAGATACAAGACTGGAACACTTCACACCAAATGAATGGAAGAGCACTTTGATTCAGGAGTCAGCAACTGTCAGTTCATTGCCTTCATGTAGTAAGTTCACTAGTCAAGTTTATTTATCTACTGTAAATGAGTACGTATAAATGTTGGAGAAATAGATTCCAGATATAAGAATGATACAAATCAGCTAGCATTTGCACTTGAATTTCATCACATGCCTACAATACACTTTTTAGATACTAAACGCACGCTCTACACTTCAAGGCAAAACAGTTTTATCCGCTGACAGTGACACTATAAAAATGACATTTCGCTATTGGTGAACCTTTATGAAAATATGCCTATTTAAATATACTGAATTGGACATTTATGAAAAGGACAGGAGAACTTTTTGCTCAAAATCCTCTAATCACTAATGTATTTAAGATAAGAAAGTGATTTCTCATCATAACTAGTTAAGCCCAGTCCCAATGTTCTGAAAACATTCTTGTCATACCGATGCTGCTGTGATAATGCAAAATGTTAATACTCTTCTTCAGAGTATAATAGTTGTGGCTCTGGAGAAGAGGTTGAAGTGAATCGTACATAAAAGTTTAGCCTGCTAGCTTCTGGCATCATTGCTGTTAACTTACTGCTCTGATTCGAGTTAACTTGGCTCCTGAAAGATGTCTAAATGCTCACTATGCTTCACACTCGAATTGGGTATAATAAGTTTCAGAGTTCACGCATGGAGTCTTAAAGATTCAGAGTTAACATTCAGATCTGATTCAAATTCAGAGCTCAGAGTACAAAAATTGCATAATGCGTACTGTTTACATGCATGTGTGACTCTAAAACTGCTTGTACCCAAGTGAAGATCCAACAAAATGAAAAAAATGATTAATGTACCAGATGCTAGTTTATTCACATCAATAGTACTCCCTCCGTCCGGAAATACTTGTAATCAAAATGAATAGAAGGGGATGTATCTAGATGTATATTAGTTCTAGATACATCCCTTTTTATTCATTTTGATAAGTGTTTTCGGACGGAGGGACTAGTACAATACTAGAAGGATTACTTAACTTGCAAAATTCAAAAAAGAGAAGTAGAAGCTTCCCTGAATAGAACTTGTGCCACCGTCAGTCCATTCTTGTCAATGAAGCGGCAAGGCATCATCACCAAACAGGGCCTTCAGAATCAAGTATAATACAGCAAAGACATAGCTCCCACGTTTTGTCACGTTTCCTGGAAGAGAAAAAAGCACCATCAACATCCACTTTCAGCACATTTCACCTGGAAGAAAGAAAGCACCATCCACATTTAGTAAATCAGCATGCCCCTATTGCCCAGCCACTTTTTGCTTGAGGAAAAACACCACATCTTCTCACCTGGTGGTAAGTCGCTTCATCATTCGACCTGTTCCCCTCGCTGACATTTCATTAATCTTGTTTCTATAATTGCAACAAGCACCAGAGAAGGGACCATCTCATTTGCCTAAGCGCACGCACACACCAGAGATCACATTTCTTCCAACTTCCACAGCCTCACATCAGGGACAAACAAATGTGCACCATCCTCACAGGTTGGTTCGTAGACTGAGGTACATAGTAATTCCTATATTTGAAATTCTGCAAGATTCCAGACTACATGGTCCCATCCGGCCTTTTCCCTTTTCCTACTCCGACTTTCCAGATAGAAATTTGCAAAAACGACGGTACACAAGACCCACTATACTACACTAGCTAAACAAATATGGTAAGGGATAAATGTGCCCTCGCGATCAATATAGATAGTGCGATTATGGAATAATAAAATTAGCTAAAAGATATAGCAGAAATTTACATGGTAATGCCATAACCCTTTTTAAGGTTACCATAACTTAAGTATGTCCTCTGTTTTTCAGCACTATGCAATACAAGCATCAATTTGCTTCTCCAGTACAAATACCAGGGCATTAGAAATTTCTGTTTACATAGTGATATACAAGTAGGCTTTCAACAAAAATGCAACTAGCCTACTACTCAACTATTCAGTTTCGAGATCAGATTCCCCTAGAAAAGTATCACTTAGAAGGCCATCCAAAACTACAAGAGATAAATAAACGAAAGCTGATACAAACTACTAGTCAGAAACAGAAACACTACTCCCAGGAATTTCGAGACTTCATGTCATCTTCATGGCCAAAATAAGAACATTCTTTCATGAAAGGCAGATGGAGGATTGCATTGAAAACTGCAATGGCCATTTTAGAACACAAAGATACAGAGTGTGCAGAAATACTACTAATTGATACTTCAAAGAAATTGGCAGAATGCCCTGATCTCATACTCTCCTAGTTCCAAGATGTGTTCAATATGACAACATGAGGAAGGACAAGTTCATAGCAGTGCAATGCTTTCTTCTCTACTGAATGACATAATGAACATACCAATTTCCTTATTAGTCTTGGTTCATGTGAAACTGAATCTAGCTGGAACCTCTCCTCTGCAAGCTGCTCCATAGTCATCAGCGAGGTGAGGTGCAGCATCCTTATGAGGGCATATGAACTTCTCGACGAATACCTTCTCACTGACCATGACTGTATTAAAGAAGTCCCGGTCATGATCTATCAATCCATTTTCCTTAAGAAACTTTACAGCGTAGTATCGAGGTCTCATCCTGCCCTCCAAGCTGTACATGAGCATTGCTGGACGATAAGCAATGTATGCCGGTTCCAACCCCACCTCGGAGATGAGGAACTCGAACCTTCGCTCCAGCGATTCTTTAGACTTCGACAGCACTCCTGGAGCCTTAGAAACAGCAATGCCCACCTCGGCATCTGACCACCTGAACGTTTTCTTCAAGTGCTCTATCTTGGTGGTGATTTCCTCCTCGCTGAGGAATGCAACAGCTCGTAGCGCGTGCTTGAACATCCGAGATCCACGGGGTACACCAAGACCTTCGACGCACGCCACTGCTGTCCGGATGTGTTCCGTGCTGACGCTGAGCGTCGATGGCATAAGTACGTAGAGCTTGGCAATGTCACAAGCACCTAGCCCGCACTCCTGCAGGAAGGTGACATTGGGCTTGACCACCCCCTCGAGGTCGGAGGAGAGAACGGAGCCACTCTTGAGGGCTCTAAAGAGGTTGTCGGAGGAGCCGAAGAGGGTCAGGCAGTACTCAAGCTTGGAGACGATGGATCTGCGACGGAATCTGTGGGGGCCAAGCGAGACGAGGTGTGCGATCTCAGAAGGCGAGAGACCGAGGCCGGTGAGCCCGGCGACGACGGGGGCCAGGGTCTTCTCCACTTGGGCGCAGAGCAGATGCGGGTCCCTGGCTACGGCGGCGGCGACGTCGGCGCCGGAGAGGCCGAGGCCGGCGAGGAAGGCGAGCACGGCGTCGGGGTTGGCGGGGGATTTGAGGTGGGAGAGTTTGGGGGAGGCCTTGAGGGCCTGTGCTGGGGTGAGGCCGCAGGTACGGACGAGGTAGTCGTCGACGGCGAAGGCGGAGACAGGGTCGGGGGAGACGGCCGCGGAGAGGAGGCGGTGGAAAGGGGATACGGGAGAGGTGGCCCGGAAAGAGAGGAGGTGGGTGAGGATGGAGCACCGGAGGCGGAGCATGGCGCCGCGGCGGAGAGGCCGGGCAGATTTGGCGCGGCGGCGGCGGCGGCGGAATGGGGAAAGCAAGCGCGACGGGCGGCGGTGGCGTGAAGATGAATCGCGTGTGTGTTCTGGTCTGGTTCAACCCAAGTCGTGTGGTGTGGTGGTGGGTCCCACTCGTCAGTATCATGCTGGCCTCTCAAGCTGACTCGTCTTGGTCCAGGATGATTATTGTGGCATAATAAGAAAACAAAATCGATGCTAAAAAAAGCTAGTATTTTTCAAGTGCTGATTGTGGCATAATAAAAAAAACGAAATTGATGCTAAAAATGTTATTTCGTAATGAAACTTTGCAAGCAACGAAAACATTTGTCAAATGTTGCCACAAATAAAATTCACCTTTTTTAATTTTTTTTAAACATTTTCAGATTTTACTGTTCACTCGAGCGCATGTGAGATCAAGCAGAGAAAGGCACTTTCATCGTACATTCCGTCCCCTCAAAGGACGGTACTTGATGTGTGTCGGGGGTTGGGTGCGACATATGTCAAAGGATGGCTTATCATAGTGGGAGCGAGTAGAATGTCGCCGGTGCCCGGAAGCGGGATGAGGCGTAGACACGAATGCCGGCGTACTTTACCCAGGTTCGGGGCTCTCCTAGGACATAACACCCCTAGTCCTGCTCTGCGGGGCCTCCGCATGATCACTAAGGCACAAGTGAATACACAGGTGCTCCTTGAGCTGTATGCTAGAGGTAGGAGAAGGCAAGGCTAGCTCTCTCCTTCCTCTATGATCTGGTCTAGTTCTAACAGGTTGGAAACCCTTTGCATGGGTGCCCTTGGGGGTTTATATAGGCCTACCCCCAGGGGTACATTGGTAATCCGGCCGGGTGTAGGGCCCGGCCGTCAGCCTCTTCGGCCGCCGGCTTCTCCGCCGATTGCTGGGGCCCGCCGCCTGGTTGGGTACGGGGCCGACAGGCCGTACCCGCCGCTCCCGGGTCTTGTCGGCAGCTGATCACTGTTGTCGTGTCTCTAATGACGCAGGCTTGGTTAGGGGGTCATGGCTACAGCTCCGCCGCCTGGCGGGCGATTACTGTAGCCACCCCCTGTCTCGTCTGGTTAATGGCGCGTGGGTCCCGAGGAAGGGGCGGGCCGACTCCTAGGGGCCAACCTCCCTCGGGTTCGACTGGTAGGGCTCTCGCTGTCTTCTGGACTCTCGCTGACTGGTTGTGGGAGCAGGACTCCGCCTGCTTGTGATGATGTCAGGGATGGCATGGCAACAGTGCCGCGCCGGGCGGAGATCTCCGCCGGTACAGCGCACTGTGGCCACGCCAGCCCCTGGAAAGGGGAGGGGATGGGCTACACTGTAGCCATTCCATGTTCTGTCCCCCTTGATGAGGGCACGGGCTTCGCAGGTGCCGCAGGCCGACTCCTCGGGGCCGGCTTCTCTAGAAGCCGCCCGATAGGAGTCGGCTTGACTTGGCCTTGCCTCCAGGACTCAGCCGTTTATGGGTAGCCGGCTATTCCTCCAGCCGGCCTCCAGGAAGCGGCTCTTCATCTTGTCGTCTTGAGGGGCGCAGTCAGCCCCGATGTCTTGAAAGGTTCTGGGCTTTGGGTTAGCCTACCCGTGGCCTATTACTCCGACGGTAGTCCCCGAAGCTGGTGAGGCGCCGCGGGCGATTGGTCGAGGAGCCTCAGCAGTTTCCTTTTCCGAGCGTTTGAGGTAGAGCCTCTTCCGTCTTCTGCCAGGCCGACTGGTAGGTGTCAGACTCGCCCAATCTGACTTGTCCAAAATTTCCGAACGCCTCGGCGGGATCCAAGTGGCGTGCTAGCTAAGCTTCCAGGCCGCCGCCCGTTTCGGGCCTGTCACGTGGCGACGAGTGGCCGGGCCAGTCTGCCCACCCATGCGCGCGACGGGACATGCCTGCCGGCGGGGCCCGCCACTACCACGCCTCGGCACGCGAGCGGATCCGCTCCAGCCGAGGTGGGCGGTTGTGGTTCCCGTGGAGTTACTGCGCGCAGTAATTTTGAGCGAAAAACGTGGGGGCGTGGGGTAGTGGGCGCAGTAAATCCCACGTTCGCCCCCTCGGCTTCGCAGCCCATAGGCCTATAAGTAGGCGGAGGAGAGGGAGCGGCAGAGCACGCGCGCCCCTCCTCCTCACTGCCTCCTCTTTCTTCTTCCTCTCGCCACTACGCCCCAAGCTACGCTGAGCGTCGCGGTGATATGTTCCCGATGAGCTCTTCTTCCACCGTCACGCCCCCCGCGGTGCGCTCCAGAGCATGGGACGGCTCCGAAGTTCACGACGACCACGTCGATTTCCTCCGCAAGACGCGGCGGCTCCCCGGCAAGGATTTCATGAGGGTCTGCCTCGCGCCGAAGAGAGAAATCTCACCGGCGCCGGAGGAGGGCGAGCGGGTCGTCTTCCGCTCGCACTGCCTGCAGGGTCTTGGCTTGCCGGCGAGCAACTTCTTCCGATCCTTCCTCGAATTCTACGGTCTCCAGCCGCACCACCTCACCCCGAACATGGTGGTGCTGCTGTCCGCCTTCGTCACCCTATGCGAAGGCTTTCTCGGCGTCCTCCCCACTATCAAGCTCTGGGGGAGTTCTTCTACACCAAGCTCGGCACCCACGTCGCAGGCGTGCCGGCCCAGTATGGCGCGTTCATCGCGTTGCGGAGGTCGGGGGCCGACAATCCGTTTCCCCCCATCACGCTGGTAAAGTCGGTGAAGATGTGGCAGCGGTCGTATTTCTATGTGAAGAGCGTCTTCGCGGAGGGCGACTGGGTCAACTTGCCGGCCTATGCAGCCGGCCCGCCAGCTGGAAGGCAGCCCAACTGGTCATACCGGGCCAGGACGCTGATGCCTGCTGGAGCCGCCGCCATCGCGCGACTCCGAGTGCTGACACAGTCGGAGGGCCTGACCGGGCCTGATTTGCTGGCCGCCTTCATGGCGCGCCGAGTGCTCCCGCTCCAAGGCCGCCCTCACATGATCTGCCAGATGAGCGGACATCGGGACCCGAGTCGGCTGTGCACCAAGGAGATGCCTCACACAGAGGTGGCCTACATGGTGAACTATCTTGCGAACTGCGAGCTCACGGAAAAGTGGCGGTTTGGCAAGGAGCCGTATTCACGCGCCAACCCTCCGCCATGGTGAGTTGTCTCTTTTTTCTTTTTTCTCTGACTCTTTGTCGCCGAGTCTGTCTTGTCCAGTCTGACCAATCAGCCTTTGAACAGAGCCCCCTCCTCCAGCCAGCAGCCGGCACCGCGGGGCCGGACCGCGAATTCCTCCCTGACCGGGCGGAGAGCGACGTCGACGACCCCGACTTGGGGGCGGCGGCCTTGGAGGACGATGTCGAGGGGGGAGGCAGCGAAGCAGGCGGCTCGAGGCTCGGAGCCAGCCTCGAGGACTAGTCTGACGATGACGCGGGGGAAGTCGCCCCGCGCCACCAGCTGGGAGCCGGCCAGCCGGGCACAAGCTCTTCTGCCGAGCCGGACGCCCAAGGCGGCGCGAAGAAGCGTAGGGCCATGCCGAGCTTATTCGGTAGTCGGCCGAAGAAGCCCAAGGGCTCGGCCGCGGCGACCAAGCGGGACGAAGCGGTCGCGAAGGCCAACCACTTCCGCAAGGAGGTGAAGACGCCGCAGCTGGTTTCTGCATAAGTGATACCTTCCCTTACACCTTCATCTTTTCTTCGTTGATCTGGTCTGAGTTTCTTTGTTTGTTTCCCTTGGTCAGGGCTCCCCTCTCTCTTGAGAAGGTGGTTGCCGCCTCCATCGTGGGGTCGGCGGAGACTTCCGCCACCACTCGGCGGATCGACCCCGCCGCTGACCTCTGGGAGGCGAGGGAGCGGAACGCACGAGAAGTGCGTGAAGAGCAGGAAGCCGCCCTCCTGCAGAAGGCGGCGGCTGAGAAGGCGGAGGCCACTGCCCTGAAGAAGCTGGCGAAGGCCAAGGCCGCCGACGCGGCGAAGAAGCAGGCTGAAGAAGCCATGCACCGCCAGTCAGCGATTTTCGTCATTCCTCTGAACTCCGCGCCGCCACCTCCGGAGTTCACGCCGTAGACTGGGGAAGCCGGCGGCGAGAACCCGATCATGGAGAGGGACGGCGACGACACCACCATGCCAGATGTGATCGTGCCGCCACCGCCGCCGTCCGGGAATGCGCAAGGCGGGCAGCCGGCGGACCCGTCGGTGCCATCAACTGAAGACGAGGTGGTGGCGGGCCTGGTTCTCGAGGTTGGCACACCGACGCATCGCCGCCTTGCGAAGGCAGCTTCGGCGTTGCGCCCTTTGGAGATTGGCGTCGCGAGCTCATCGATCCCGGACACCGAGGCGACGAGCGCCGCGCCCACTGGGTGGGTGCGAGGTGGTGGGACGGGCCCGTTGAATCGGGAGCTTTTGGACGTCCAAGCCAAGATCCGAGCCAAGGGCGAGGCCATCAGGAACTGCAACAAGGCGCATCTGGCATCGCGAGAGGCCGTTCGGGTGCATTTCCTTCTTCTTTGCTTCCATTTCTTGTGCTTCTCGATGGGGGCGCGCCAGCGCACCCACTGGGTGTAGTCCCCGAGTTTTGGGCCGGCTGCTGACCAGGCGGCTCGGAACTCTAATCGGCGAGTTCCAAGCAATAACACTTGTCTGAAATTTTTGTCACAGGATTACCACATTCTCCGCGTGACCGCCTTCAACTTCAATGTCCAGGAGCTGGCTCAGCGGACCGCCGACTTGTCACAAAGCCGGAGTAAGTCCTCTTCTTTTTTCTGCGGGTAGTCCCCGAGATTCGGGCCGACTGCTGAGCAGTCGGGCCGGATCTCCCCGACCACTATTCTTCTTTCTGTTGATGACTCCTTTTTTTGCAGGGGCGCGCTGGCGCACCCGCGGGCTGTAGTCCCCGAGATTCGGGCCGACTGCTGAGTAGTCGGGTCGGATCTTCCCGGTGACTATTCTTCTTTGTTGGCGACTAACACCTTGTTTTCTTCTTTCTTCTGCAGAGGCCAACGCCACCTTGCAGCAGCAGCTGGGCAAAGCCAAC